CCCCGGGGCTGTACCTCGCATGCCCTCTGCCTGGCTTGCCATAACTGCAATCATTTATTCTGTTCAGCAATGGAAATGATGATGGAGGCTGGTGTCCATCGATGGATCGGAGGATAAAGGAAACGTGGCGTATGCGTACGACGGAATATCACTAAGCCATAAAGAGAAGGACATCTCGCCGCTCGTGACAACAGAGATGGCCTTGAGGGCATTTGTCAGACGGAGGACAAACACCACGCGATCTCACCTCTACGCGGAATCTAAAACCAAAACGAAACAAACTCATCTCACAGGTACAGAGAACCGACTGCGGTGCGGGTGGGGGTGGGAAGGCTGAATGGGCGAACAGGGTGGAAAAGCACAGACTTCCAGCTCCAAAGTCAGTAGGTGCCAGAGATCTAATGGACAGCGTCGTGCCCGTAGTTAACAGTTCAGTCTTGCATATTTGAAAGCTGCGAAGAGGGGAGGTCTGCAAAGCTCTCACCCTAAGAAGACACATTCTGTAGCTGCGTGTGGTGATGAGTGTGAGCTAGACTTACCTGCCGGTCACTTCGCCATGGGGACCTATGTCAGATGTTATGTTGTACACCCGAGACTAAAACAGTGTTGCGTGGCGTTCTACCCCAAGGTTTAAACTTTGCAGTTATGGGGCGCCCGGGGGGCTCAGTCGGTTGAACATCTGACTCTTCGGCTCAGGTCACCATCTCCCGGTTCGAGAGTCTGAGCCCCGCGTGGGGCTCTGTGCTGGCAGCGCAGAGCCTGCTTGGGATTCTCTCTCTCCCTCTCTCTCTGCCCCTCCCTGGCTTGATCTCTCTCTCTCTCTTTCTCAAAATAAATAAATAAGCTTAAACAAAAATTTTTAAAAGTTGCACTTATGACAGGGCGTGATGAGCCAAGCACCGTGGGTGGGGGTCCCTGTGCCGCGTGGCCACAGCTGGGGTGGCCCGCCTGGCGCCGTCCGGTACTCTCGCGGCTGTCAGCGGTGCTGGCTGTGGGCTGGGGTCCAGCTGCGAACACGGCCCAGAAGCCCCGCTTCTCTCCCTGGGCGCCCCCTCTGTGGGCAGCACGGGCTTCTGCGGTTCCCAGCGCCAGCCCCCCAAGCGCGGGGCAGGAGCTGTGTTGCCGCGCACCTGACCTTTGAAGGGACAGTGCGCCACCTGCGCTGAACTCCGCAGCAGAAGGAGGGTTGGCGCCTTGCTGCAGGCGGGCACACAGAACGGGCGTCCCAGGGTCCTGGTGGCCACGGGCACAGACACAGAGACAAACAGGTGGCTGTTGGGGCTCAGCTCTCCGAGGGAGGTGGCGTCCTTTATATGGGGAGCCCAGGAGCCTCTTTGGATCTGAAAGCGGGAAACACCCGGGCCCCGGGGAGGGGCGGGACACCAGTCTGGAAGACCCGCTGGGCAGCAGTGCCGCTCCATCGCGCTGTTCCCTGCAGCCAGGCGGTTCACGGAGGCGGCGGTCCCCCAAGCTGGTCTTTATGAAAGGGGGGTACGTAAGCCCAGGTCACCTGAGGGGGGCCCGTGAGGTCGCTAAGGCAAGGTCCTCCTCCCCGAGCCGGGTGCACACAGCTGTGACATTCTGCACGGTGCTACGGCCTTTGTTTTTATTTCTGGGTTTTGTTTTGAAATCGCTGGGTGGTTCTGTGCTTAGAGAGTTTCCACCAAAATGAAATCAATACCACCGGCCATACTTTATGGGAGAATGATTTCCAAACGGCACAAAACAAACGCCTCTAGTATGTGCATTTCAGAGAATAAAGTCTGTCACTGCTGGAGCTAAAGGTGACCACGCCTGGGAGAGGAGAGACGGTTGGTTACGGGAGGTCAGAGGAGGGGTCTGTTGGAATTTCCGGGGGGGGGGGGGGGGGGAATGCATTAGCCAGAGGCAGAAGGTGCTGACCAGTAATTGCTTGAAACCAGTCACCATTTTCCTACAAGATCTCAGTTGCAATCCACCGCTTACGCGAGGAAGGGCTGCTGAATCAGCAAAAACTGGTTTGGAAATAAAATGGAGGAAAGGAAGTGCAGAGTGTACAAAAGGGCAGCAATGTGACGTCAGTGAGGTTCAGGGGGAGCAGGCAGAAGGTTGGGCTCCCAGGTGGGAATCCACAACCTTCGCGGAGGGGCTGGACTCCTTAACAGCCCTGCCACTTCCCTTCTTAAGTGCTTACCACGAGCTGGGGCTCAGCTCTGGAATCCTCATGGCAACCGTATGGGAACTAGTATATGCCCATTTTACAGATGAGAAAACTGAGCTCAGGGTTAAGTGACTGCCCAACCACACAGCTGGTGAGCCCTGGAGGCAGGGTTTGAGCCTGAATCTTTTTTTTCCCTTAAGTTTATTTATTTATTGAGAGAGAGAGCGCGCGTGCGTACATGCACTTGGGGCTCTATCTCATGAAATGTGAGATGGTGACCTGAGCCAAAATCAAGAGTCAGATGCTTAACCAACTGAGCCACTCAGGCGCCCGTTGAGCCCGAATCTTGTGAGAAACGTCTGCAACCTGTTTGTCTACACATTCACAATATGTAACTTTCGTTTACACCCAACATCCCCCTGACACTGCTTGTATCCGTTCAGATTAACAAAAGAAAATACCTGGAGACGTAGTCGGAAGTCTGGTAGTACCCAAGGGTGGCCAGGGCTGGGAGGGCCAGAAGGGAAAGGCACAGCAGGGCAGAAACGAACGGCTCCAGCCTCGTGAAGCCGAAGATGTGCTCTACACAACAATTCCATCCCTAGGCATTTAGAGAACCTTCCAGGTAGCACAGGGAGGTTGACCAGAAGGCGCACTGAATCATTGTAATTGCAAATCACAAAGCAAAATGAAAACTCCCTAAGTGCCCTTCCGCTTGTGGGGTGCTTGGGGGTGGGTTTGAGGTGACAGCTCTGCAGGCCAGGCGGGCAGGGCTTTGAGGGGCGGGGGGGCTTTAGTGCCCAGGGCAAGAGAGAAACTTGAGCTGAACTCTGGGAGTCCGAAGAGCAGCTAATTTCCCAGGAGGAGTCTGTTTAGCCAAAGATGGGAACAGTGCAGGCAGGAAGAGGTGTGAGCTGGGCCCCTGGCTGACTGGAAGGCTTCAAATCACGCCTCTTCCGTGGGCTAAGTCCCAGGCTCCACCGCCTGCCTGGCAATTCCCGTCTCCCTCCCGGCGGAGTCTCGGCCGCACTGTAATCAGCCCAGACCCCTCGCAGTCTCCCCCTCCCCCGGCAACACCCCGATGCTACACGTTCCGGGAGAGCTGGGAGCCCGGCTCCTGCCTGCGGATTTATGGTCCAGGAAATGCACTTTACATTGGTCCCAGGATACTCGCATCCAGGAATCAGACACCATCACTTGGGGGGCGGGGGGGGGTATCTGTGGAGAAAGTAACGCCCTGGTGACAGTCCTGTGCTCGCCCAAAGCGCAGCCGCTCCGGAGCCGGGGGCTACCTGTTGGCCAGGGAGCTGGGAAGGGACGTATCTGGGTGTCTTTACACGAAGACCTGCGCGTGTAGCCCGACTTTCTGTTAATTTATGGGCAGGGGACGTTCACCAACTGCATGTTTTCTGGGGCAAGTGCCCCCCCTTCCTCCCACATGTGGACCCCAAACTGCCTGTAAGGAAGAAGGGTAGATTATTTGTCCTAGAGAAAACCAACCACCTGTGGTCTGCCACGAGCCTCTCCAGTCAAGCCAGGGTCAGGTGTCGCAGATAGGAGCCAGGGGTCAAGGGCGATGTGCAGGCTGGGAGGGAGGAAACGCAAAGGGCGCCCCAGAACGCCCCGGGCCTGCTCTGCCCGGCTTCACCTCCCGGCTCCCGGGAGGGGGCAGAGAGCGCCCTGGGTGCTGGGCGCCTTCCCGTTACGCAGTTCCTGTCCCTTTAAATCTAAGTCCCGGGAAAGGGGGGGTGCTGGGGGGACCTGTCTGGACCCCAATTTCCAGGCCGGCTCCAGCAAGGGGGAAGCCGGGCGGGCGGGCGCGCCACGTGGGGGGTGCGGAGGGCCGGCGCCCGGTGGTCCCCGCCCGCGCCCTGCGCTCCCCGCCCTCCGCCCCTGCGCCGCAGCTCCCCTCTCCAGACCGGCCGCGCGCCCGGGGCAGGGGGCCGGTTCGGGCGCGCGCGGGGCGGGGCGGGGCGGGGCGGGCCGGGCCGGCGGGAAGCCGGTGCGGGGACGCGCGGGCGGGAGACGCGCGGGCCGGGGGCTGGGTCGGGGGCGGGAGAGGAGGTGCGGGGGCGCAGGGCCCGGTCGGGGACGCGCAGGGGAGACCCGCGAGCCGGGGGGCCGGGGCGGGAGCGCGCGGGCGCGGGCGGGGAGCGGATCGGGGAGGAGGGGGCGCGGGCGCGCGGGCGGGGTGCGGGCGCGCGCCGCGCGCGCCCGAGCGCGCGAGCCGGGCCCGGAGCGCACGCCGCCGCCGCCGCCGCCGCCGCCGCCGCCGCCCGCCCGCCGCATTGCTGCTGCCGCCGCCGCCGCCCGGCCCGGCCCGCGGCCCCCAATATGGTGCAGCCGCCCGCGCCGCCGCCCGTGCCGCCGCCGCCCGCGGGCCCCGCCGCCGCCCTCGGGCGCCCGCAGCGCGGCAGCCGCAGGTGGGGGGCTGCGCCCCGGGCCTGAGCCGCCCGCCGTCTCCGCCCCGGCCTGCGCGGCCAGCCCGGCGGGCTCGCCTCCGAGGGGCACTTGCCGCTGAGGTGGAGCCGTTTGCACCAGACGCTCCCGCTCCTGCCCCCTCCCCCTCCCCCTCCCCCTCCCCTCCGGTCCTGTCTCCAGCGGGAGCGCGAGACGCCGGGCAGGCTCCGCGGCGCAGCTCGGGAAGGAATAATCGCCCCCAATTGACTTAAATTCCGCCGAAGCCGGCGCCGCGGCCGCCCGCCGCCCGGGATCCGCTCGCTGTGTGTTTTTGCTTTCTCCATTCTTCCTTAAAAAAAAAAAAAAAAAAAAAAAAAAAAAAAAAAAGCAAAACAAAACCAGCCAGCCAGCCAACCAAGAATCCGGTTTGTTGATCGCCTTGGTGTTTTTTTTTTTTTTTTTTTTCACCGTTTGCGGGATTTGCAAACCGAGTTACATGCATGTCCAGTGGGGGCAGGTTTAATTTTGACGATGGAGGGTCCTACTGTGGAGGCTGGGAGGACGGCAAGGCGCACGGCCATGGCGTCTGCACCGGCCCCAAGGGCCAAGGCGAATACACCGGCTCGTGGAGCCACGGCTTCGAGGTGCTGGGCGTCTACACCTGGCCCAGCGGCAACACGTACCAGGGCACTTGGGCGCAGGGCAAGCGCCACGGCATCGGCCTGGAGAGCAAGGGGAAGTGGGTGTACAAGGGCGAGTGGACGCACGGATTTAAGGGGCGCTACGGGGTGCGGGAGTGCACGGGCAACGGGGCCAAGTACGAAGGGACCTGGAGCAACGGGCTGCAGGACGGCTACGGGACCGAGACCTACTCGGATGGAGGTAGGTGCCGCGCGGTGGGTGGGGGGTGGGCCGGGCCTGTTGGGCAGGGGGCTGGGAGGAGGGGGAGGAGGAGGAAGCGCCTTCTCCTGCCTCTTCTGTTTACCTCTGGGGAAGTTGAGCTTCTCCCTTCAGCCGGAGGCCGTGCGCACCCCGGGCATTTCCTGGGGCTTCCTGGAGGCCACAGTTGCCCTGGCTACAGGTTGCCCCGCGGCCTGGTGGGGGACAGCGCCCCTGTGGCAGCTGGAGGGTGTTGGGGGCTTTCCAGGAGCAGAGCCAGGCCGGGAGCCGTGGAGCTGAGCAGAGTGTCAGTGCATCATCCAGGCACAGGCCAGAGACCTGCCCGAAAGGCCAGCCTCGCCCTGGGCCCTGGGCCCACGGCCCACGGCCTCCTGCGGGGACCCACCAAGGGCAGAGGGGAGCTGGGAGAGGGCCCCTCCCCCTCGCTGGCAGAGCTCCCTCAGTGCTGGCCTCCGGGAGTCAGGCCCCAGCTCTGCTTCTTGTTTTCCTGCGGTGCTGAGAGGCCTCCCTTCGTCCTGATGAACCCAAGCCAATGGGAAGGAAACGATTGGGAGAGGAGCACAGACCCAAAGCAACACAACACGGCAATAAACTTCTAGGTGGTTGGACGCGGGCTAGTGCAGCCACAGAGGCTGCTAGAGGGAGGGAGGAGGAGGCCCATCTGTTTAGCAAGAGCCCAGGAATCTCGCCTGCCAGTGGCTGAATCACTTCACCGTTAGTTCGGGGAATGCTCCGTGCCTTCATTCTAACATGCCGCCACATTTGGGGCTGAGCCCGCCCGCCTGTCCTGGCTGTGAGATGGTCTCTGCGTGGGGAGCCTCGGCCGGAGGTCCTTCGCAGCTGCCCCCCGTCCCGGACACTCCAGTGTCCACTACTCCTTGCGTCCGACAGACACGGAGCATTTGCTGCTCCTGGAAGCCAGACCCCAAACGAGCCTGCTCTCCGGCTGCCCCCTGCCCCCACCTGGGAGCTTAGCCTCACAAGTGGCTCCGTGCCTCCCTCTTGGCGGCTTGCTAATTTTTCAGGCATGGATGCCTGGGAAAGGCGTGGGGCACAGCAGTGACCTGTGTGCTCTGCTGGGCATGGGGATCACGAACGGATGTGCAGTCTTCTCCCTGCCCGCCTGCTGCCTCCACATCTCACGAAGCAGCCACTAGACACCTGCTCCCCGGCCACATCCAGGAGGGCTGGAGGGCTGGCGAGTAATTATTATTTTGGCTTATGCAACTCAGAGGCAGGGTTCATCATTACTCAAAGGGGAGGTGGCGTGGGGGGCAGTTAATTACGTAACACTCCTGCCTGTCAAAGCCGTGCCCGGCCCCGTCCCAGGCGGCCTCCTTGCTGTTGTTTTCACGGAGCGGGTTGGAGAGCCTCCTGAACCCTGGAGTGCAGGGGCTGCACCGCGCAGACAGCCCTCTCTGGGTTCTAGGCTGTGTGTGTGCATGCGTGTGTGTGCGCGCGCGTGGCGAGGCTTGGGCAGCAGATGTGGGTGGTGAGGTGGGCGGCTCAGCAGCCTGGCGCTCCCAGCTGGGCTCTCTGGGAGCCCAGGGGTAGTCGTCACCCCCGGGCTCTGCCGTGGTGCTCTGCGGATCGGTCCCTCCAGAGGTGCTCCCAGCTGTGCTCGAGCCAGGAAAGCGGCTTCTCAGCCTCACAGGGGAGCCTGGGGAGGAGAGGAGCCAAGCCCCTGTCTGTGGAAGTCCCCGGAATATCTAAGAGTGAGGTCCAGCTCTCTAGGCTGCCCAGCTTCCCCAGACATCTTGAGTGCTCCGTTCAGCAGATGTCTACTGAGCACTTGCTGTGAGCACCTGCTCTGGGCTCTGCGCAACCAGCTGTGAGTGAAGCAGACAAAAACCGTTTCCCCCTCAGAGAGCTTCCACTTTAGAGGGGAGGGCGATGATTCCATTGTGTTTCCCAAGGGTGGGGGGAACCATCTGGTGCTGCGGCTGGCCGTGACTTTAGGTTTCAATACGCTGATGTGAGAAATGCTTCCTTCAGTTGGTCAATGTTCTTGGGTCTCCATCCCCCATCCAGTCAGCTACACAAGGTTTTCTGCTCCCTGAGGCACTACCCTCCACGTCGCCCCACTGGAGCCTCTCACGGTGGAGAGGAGGGATTGTGCCCATTTTACAGATGAGGTCAGAGAGACCCAGCGGCCCGTGGTGGCAGAGTCTCGGTCGGAGCCTTGATCTGTCCCCACATTACAGCACCTGTGGGCCGACCGAGGCCGGCTCACGGGGCGCAGGACACCAGGGCTGACCGCTCCCTTCTGGTTGGTGACACGGTGTGATGGAAAGTCAGATTGGCCCTTTTGGCCTGGGGTAATCAGGTCAGACATCTGGGGCCACCTTTCTGCCACATGGTCTGCGCTTCTCCTTAGGGAGGAAGCTACTGTGGAGGCCAGCAGCTCCGGGTCTGGACGCCGCCCCCAGCCAGCCGGTGGGCATGGTGGCCCAGGCTTCGGGGAGGGCAGGCCGGGAGGGCAGGCGGAGCCTGCTGAGTTCACGGTCCCCACTCCAGCCTGGTTCCGTCCGCACAGGGGGTGGGAACATTGGGCAGGTGTCAGCACAGCTCCTGAACTTCAGCCCAGCTTCTAGTGCTGACTTGGGGAAACGGCGATTTTCATGAATAATGCACTAATGGCAAATGTATTCTACATTTGGCTGCGATTGGTATGGACTCCATTTCAACTGGGGCGACTTCTGCCAACTCCTCCTCCTCCACGTTCATCCCCCAAGTGCAAGGCCGGTGTTTTCTGTGGAAGTGAGCTGAGTGACTTCCACGGTCTGCGGGGTGACCCCATGGAGAGGGTGAGGCCCTGGGGGTGCGAGGTGGCAGGAGCACATGCTGTGGAGGCACAGCCACTGGGCTTTGTGACCTCAGGCAAGTTACTTGACTTCTCTGAGCTTCTGTTTCTTCATCTCTGTGAAGGGCTGATAATAATATCTGTAATTAATCGAGGCGGCGTGCGTGGCTCTGCCAGGAATGTGGTGAGCATTCGTTATTGCTTATAACTGTTCTGTTATCACGGAGCACATGCAGTGAGTGTCGCTTACAGTGATCCTTACAGTGATCAAGGTGATGATGAAAATGATGATAAACGGCTGTATCAAACACCGTGTGCCCGCCATGTGGCCAATGTTTGCAGCAATGATAACCCTTCATTCCCGAAAATCAGCAGGGTTGATTTTCTTGTCCCTCCCATTTCCCACACTGGGATGACGTGGCTGGTGGGTGCGGGGCGGCAGCAGGACTCACACTCAGGACAACGATCCCAGAGCCTGTGCTTTTGTGTGGAACACGTTCTCTAAACTCCCTTGTGCAAAACTACCTCCTCGTTCCTTCCTCTTCCTCCGCACCCTGCTTCTCCTCTGGGCGTGGCAGCCGGGAGCTGGAGGCAAAGGCACAGGTGCCCCCCCCACCCGTGCGTCCCCCCCCCCGCCCGGCCTGCACGCACGGCCCCTTCTCCCCTCGCTGCGCCTCTGCACTTGGCTGCACGGGTAACCATTTCCTTCTGGTGCTGTGTACACAGGACCCCTCGGACCAGAGTTACCCCCACAAATAAGCCCTCCCACAGCCCGAAAGATGTGAGTCATCTCACGTACCAGGCCTCCCCCCTCAAATGCAGATTCCGTTCACTGGCCCAGATCCCTCGGCCCACACAAATCACACACGCCCACAGTCAAAATCCCAGCCCCTCTGCGCCTGTGTGCGCGCACACACACAATACACCTGTCACCCGGAGACGTTTCCACCCCGTCCCCCAAAACACAGCCACATGCACCCCCAACCCCTTCCGCCTCCTGCTGCGGGAGCCCCTGAGTGGGGAGAGTCCCGCCGTCCGCGAGGCTCAGGTTACGGATGGAGCAGCAGGCTTTGTTTCCACTTTAAACACACGTTTATGCAGCTCATGCCCCCTTTTAAGGGGGAAGAACCCCGCATCCAAGCAAAATAAATGACCACGGGGCATATTTTTGATGCTAGGCTATGGCTATGTGAAGGCAAACTTTTTAAAGAAGAAAATCCCAGTGCCGGGTCCCAGGTTAGGGAAGAAGCAGGTCGGGGACACCAGACCCAGGCCAATGGGAATTCGTTCCAGAAACAAAAGAAGCACTCAGCCATTGGAGATAAAAGCATCTCCTCAGAGATTCTGGTTCAACCACTTTGGCAAGGGGAAAGGCTCCAGGAGGTGAAAGGAGGAAGAAAAAGCAAATAACTAGTTCTTTGTTGCCAATAATAGCTGAAGAAGAAGTGTTACTGAGCGCGCCCCTCACCCAACACAGCCCTGGAGCCAGAATTGGGCGCTTTATATCAGGAGCCCCAGCGAGCTGGCGAGGAGGCCAGGGTCAGCACCCTCTGGAAACAGCTGCCACGCCAGGTCGTTAGTGAGCAGCCCTGGCTGGCGGTGACAGTTAACACAGATCTGAGGAGGACTCGGGCTGGAGGACGGCTGGGAAGACAGACGCTGGGGGGAGGGTCAGGGGCCCCTGCTGCGTCTCTTCACGGCCCTTTCCACTTCCCAGTCCCCCCCAGGCCTGCACAGCTGTAAGGATAGCTGGCTATCGATTACGGGCTGCTGTGCATGTAACACTCAGTGTTCTTTGATGACCACATATCACAGGACACGTGGATTTGTGGGCTCTACAGGGGGCGATGTGTGTTTGGATTTTCCACAGTGGTCGGCCCCTCTTAGATCAGCCACTTCCCCAGTTTGTAGTCTCCTGGCTTGTGCGAGGCACGTGGTGGATAGAGGCAAGCGCGCCTGGGGCCCTGGCTTTGCCGCAAACAGGCTGTGTGCATCAGACCAGGGGGTTTTCTGGGTCCACGGAGTCTTCACGGAGGACAGAGAGGCTGGTCTGTTCAGCACCTTGGAGAGCGCCGCACTCGCGCTGCCTGGGCTTTGCCCTCCTTCCCTCCACACCCCCTCCAACCACCAGGGCGCCGGACTGAGCCTCCCGGCCAGTGACCACCCGGCCCTGACCCGT